ACTAGAACTGTTTAGCTATTTCAAATGCGGTTAAGTACGAAATTTTCGCTTTTTCCCTCTTGAGTTAGTACACACTGACTACACGAGCACCAATATTCACTGAAGTATTGGAACACATTGCTACAAAAAAGTCATATTTTGATACAGTTTATGTCTAAATATTGCAGCGAACGCAGATGCCATTGCAGTCAGTACTTCAGTGTATACCATCAATACTGGTGTGATTAGTGACTCAGTGAATTCTATATCGGTGGTTCAGTGTTCAGTGTTTACATCAACACTACACATCTCTAGATAAAAATTTGAAAAATCTTACTCGAGCAATTTCATATCGTAACTTATCCATTGCACTAATACATGATTTACATTCATTTTCTGCTTCCTAAAAAATAATAGTCATTCTAATCAATAAAATACTTGTTAAATATTAACTTACATCACCATATTCTTGAGCAAATTTTCCACGTTGTCGTGCAAGAAAATCCACAATACGTGTAACAATAACTGGAAGACGATCTTTTATTGTTGCATAAGCAAATGATCTATTATATAAATTTATTGAAATAAATTTATATAAGAAAAGTATATAACATACTTTTCATCTTTAGCTGATAATGGTGGTGGTAATGCCATAAATATACTTTCTTTTTTTTTTGGTTTATTCTTTGAATAAATACAAATAATAATTTTTTTATTAGAAAAATTACGCGCGTATTATCTATAAGTAAAGTATTTTCATCAGTTTGTTTGTTTGTTTTTATTTTACAGACGAGAAAAAAAGTTATGTAAACAAAAAAGACGAAGAAAAACAAATTAAATGTATTTATATTGATTTAGTTTTTGACTTGGATCATAATCATCACTCATACGTTGCCAATCTTGTTCGGTTTGACCAACAACAAAACCAACTAAAATTGAAAAAATTACAAAAAAAAAGAAATAAATTATTTTCTTAAAAAACAAACGTACTAGCTTTTTTATGTAAATGAAGAACATTTTCTTCAATATCAGCCCAACGAACTTTTTTCTTTTTTGATTGACAATTCGGTGATAAATCATTCGTTTGTTCATCTATACTTATTGTTGTATTATTCAAACGTTTTTCAATCGGTGATGACGATTGATTTGATGATGAATTTCGTCGTTGATATAAACCATCGAGACGATCTAAATTTTTTTTTAATTTAAATATTAATAAAACATACTGAGAAAAAAAAGAAATTTTCGAAAACGAAAAAAAGAGCAAAAAAACTTAAAAGATTTCATAAGGAAAATAAGAAAAAAAAATATAGCATACCGGGATTTGTTTCCATCATTGCTTCCCATTTACTTTTCTTTGTCATCTAAAATGTTCATTTGTGTGCTTCATCGTCGATCGGTTTCTTGCAAATTTTGCTCTCAGACAAACAAATATGTACTTACCGATTTCTCCCTCTCCCATTAAAAACTCTCTATATCCCTCATATATTAAAGTCTACTTATTCAAATTACCTGACTCTCCTCCTCTTCGATTTCATTTTCTTCAGTCGTCGTTGTTGGAGGAGCATCGTCCATTTCAACCTTGAAAAATTAAATAGAAAACAAAAGAAATTTGTTTATAACATACTTCATCGATAGCATCCGATTGAAGTAATGAACGAATATCAAGAATTTCATAACGTAATGGCAATTGTTCCCAACGTTTATGAATCTATAATTATAAATATGAATAATTTCTTTTTTTTTTGTCTTATTCAAAATAATATTTTACTTGTTGAATATCAGATAAAGAACGACTATGCATATTTCGTTGTGCACATGTTTGTATATCATTATTTAATTCAACAAAATAAACTTGAAATTGATTTGCTTCAGCATAATCAGCCATATTACGAAAATGATTTAATTGTTCATTATTTTGATCAATAATTAAAAATGGATAAAAACGATCATCAATCGATTTTCGAACTAATTTTATTAAACTTCGTCGATAGGTTTCTTCCATTTGTGGATCATACTCATATTCCATAACCTTTTTTTTTTGTTTTTATATCAAAAGATTTTTTGAAGTTTAAAAGAAAATGAAACTTAAAAAACATACAGATGTTTTTGTTATTTTGCCCGTTTTAGGATCTTTAGTTTCACGTTGATTTTCAGTTAGAAAATAATTATCAATTGAAAGAATTTTTGGTTTATTAGTGCCTTTTGATTGTGATTCTTCTTCATTCTATAAACAATGACTAAAATATCAATGAAAATATTTGAATTTATTTACTTTGATTAAATCCGCAACATAAGATTTACCCGAACCTATATATATATATATATATGTAAATGACTATTTTAAGTAGAAGAAAACGAAAAGAAAAAAAAACCAACAAATACAAACCAGGTAAACCTCGAAGGAAAACAATAATTTGTGATGGTCGTTGTAATCGACCAGGTTCTTTAAGAAGTGTATCAATCTAAAGAAAAAGAAAAAAGAAAAATTCTATTATTTTTAGATATATTTGCATTTATAATACTGAAATAAGTTGATGTTTTTGAAAAAGTTGACTAGTTAATACTTGTTGCTGTTGTTGTTGTTCATGATGAGTTGAATGTGTGAACTGAGAAGTTATAGGATATGTATTACGATCACTGTTTGTCCAATGAGGATGAGGAAGTTGATTATTAAATGATTCTCCTGATGTTGATATACGTGGTACTGGTGGAAGTGGAAGTCGTAATTTTGTTCCATTATTTTCGATAAATCTTGGATTAGCTAGTGGAAAATGATGTTGTTGTTGATTATTGGAATATGATTGTGTTGGAATACTCATTAGTGATGGAAGTTCCTTCGCATTCTCATTAGTAGGATTTGTCTAGACGATGAAAAAAAAAAGGATACAAGATATTCAGTTTTGTTAGCTTTTATAAACTCATATTCAGTAGTAGAAAAAAAAACTCACAATGGAACTCTTCCAACTGGTTAATTGCTTTTCAGTCGAAACTATGTGCTTCGTGTAGATTCAAATGAGTTTTGAATATCCTGAAAAAGAGTTTAAGCGCTTGGCTTATTGCTCCGAAGATATTACATTTTTGAGATATTTTTTAAATGAATGCCATGATTCTTCTCAGGAACACCAGAAAAATTGATTTTTGAACTTCGATTGGAAATTTGGTGCATAGACAGACTTTAACGAGAGTAACTTATTGTGAAAGTTTAAAGTCTTTTGATTTGCTTCTATCCTGAAATCAGAACAGCGAAGCTGTCGGCGTATATAATCGATGTAAAAGACATGCTTTTATTATAACTGTATCTTACAATAGGAACAACGACAAGATCTGACACGTTTACAAGAAATTATTCTCATTAAGGCTTGTCTCGGTGCAAAGTTTCAAGTCAAAATTAAAACATCAGTTTTCTTGATGTTCCTGAGAAGAGTCACGGCATTCATTTAAAAAGTATCATAAAAGTGCAGTATCTCCAGAGTAATAAGCTAAGGATACGAACTCTTTTTACGGTATTCATACCTCATTTGAGTCTACATAATACACATAATCTCAACTCAAAAGCAATTAATCAGTTGAGAGATTTCTTTCGTCAGATAAACTTACTGATGAATCAAAATCAGATTCTTCAAGATAATGACTTTTTCGTTTTAATACAGCTGTACCACCACTGAATGGTGGTTGTGGAATACCAGTACCACTACTTAATAGTGGTTGTGAAACATTAGTACCACCACTGAATGATGGTTGTGGAATGCCAGTTCCACCATTCAATGTTAGGGGAGTGATACCGGTACCACCACTAAACGATGGTTGTGGTATATTGATACCACCACTAAAAGATAGGTGTGGTATATTGATACCACCACTGAAAGATTGTTGTGGGGGTGGTAATGGTGGTTGAATATGATGAAAAGTTGTTGGAGGTGATGGAATAAATGAAGACACAGATGTAACAGATGGAGAAGGACCAGATGAAAGTATCCAAGATTGCTGTGGACGTGGTCGAGAAGGTACAAACATGAAGGATTGTTGTTGTTGTTGTTGTATTGGCAAATTGTTCGGATATGGTTGATGAAAATGATGAACCGGTGTAGTATACATTAGAGATGGAGGTTGTACTATTTGTTGTTGTTGTTGCTGTTGAGGAAAATGTACCATATGTCGATTGACAGGTTGTACATTATTAAAATGATCGACTACAATATGAATCAAAAATATTTCATTTGCTATTCAACAGAAAAAATAACATAGTTTAAAGTAATTTAAGTTTTCAAAGAAAATTGTTGTTATTTGATTAATAATAAAAAGTTAAAATGTTTTAGTAAAAATAAAAAATAAAAAACTTACATCGATCACCACGAAATGGTATCATTCTAATGAATACTCATTAAACATCTAGAAACAAACAAACATTTTATATATTTCAAATAACAACAGTTATTAAACACAAGGATTTTTTTCGTGTTACGTCAGTCATTTCATTTCTTTTTAAAAATTTATTGATTTCTTTTTTGCAAATGATTTATAATAACGTCCTATGAAAATTTTTGTTAATAACCATTACATGAAGTTTTCTTTTTGTAATATGTTATTACTCTTCTAATTGTGGTGTTTTACTTCACAGTTTGATATAAAATAAAGAAACATTTGAAGTAAATAATACTTTTTGTTTGTTACTATACTTCGTAGATCACAACTTTGCAATATATTTCATTATGTTATACACTAGAATCAATTTTTCATTGAAATTTTTCATCAATATCTAAATAAACAAAAGAGAAAATTTGATCTAAAACTATATATAGGAAACACCAACTAGATCATTTTACTATACATCCTATCGAATACTTTCATTCACAATAAAAAAAAACAAATTTCTTTGATCGACTAATTATTTTCGATGGAAAAAAAATTTCTAATGGGCATCATCAAGATTAGTTCAATTCCCGCAGTTGAAAACAATATTTAATGTTCTTGATAAATTTATTAACGCGCCAATCAGTTTACAAAGAAAAAAAAACTAGATGTCAACAAACACTTGTTCAAGTACATCAACAACAGATCTCTATCAACGTCATATAATTTGTTCAGATTCATATTCTCAAACAATGACGAATGAACATAATGATGATGATTATGCAAATTATGAAGAAACTTTTCTTCAAAAACCTTCAATATTGATTCATAAAAATAATATTAAAAAATCTGACCAAACAGTATTATGTCGAATAAATCGGTATTCAATTGGTTGTTGGACAAAACCAGCTTATTTACTTACCAATTGATGAATGAATTTTATTGAAAATCAAAAAATTCCATTTGTCTCATAGACATATCTAACTATTAACTGTTCTTTTGTTCAAATAATAAAATACATAGTAAAGAAAAAATTTTCAACAAACCTTTTCACGCAAATTGATTCATATATAATTCTTTTCTTTAAAATATTTTAATATTAAAAAAAAAAATACTCGCTCTTTTCAATTTCTATTTGATCAATATTGATTTAGACACATAGAAAAGTATCAAATATCTATTTGTATATTGACACTTAAGGTGTCTGTCTAATTCGAATGAGGTTCAGACTAAAAAAAAGTCAATAGAAAGATTCTAAGTGCATAATTTTCATCATCAAATTGTTACTATAGCGATTCAGCTGAAAAAAAAAATACAAAAATCAGCTAATATCACTCCATTTGTTTTTGCTCAAAAGCACATTATAAAAGAAGGGTCTTGAATAATTTCGTTAATGCATAAGTAAATATTAGTCAAGTCGCAGTAATGTGAAAGTCTTACTTTGGCGGTTTTTTATTGCGGTTAAATAGAGTGCATCGAGTTAGTACTAAAAATATTGTTTTTGACATATTCAAGCAATGTTTTTGTAATGAAACTTAGGAGAGCCTAGAAAAACTAAAATACACAAAAAACTTCAAGCTTCGGAAACCTCTATATTTATCCAAATTGTTATTTGATTTTACTCGTCGTATAATTAAGATTAAAGTAGAAAACCAATTTTTTCGAGACGATTCCAAAACACAATAAATACGTGTTCGTATTCACAGATTTTGACAATCAGAACATTAGTTCTAAATGAAACGAACATCATATTCAGAATTAGCAGATTTTTTTGCATCGACTAGTATACTCAATATTTAAAACTAAATTTCGACCTGAGGGAGAAACTACAGGCTAGATTATTCGAAAATAACAGTGACGGCATATAAGAACCGAAATTAGACAAAAATTAGTTTTAAGTATAGAATACACTATTCAATGCAAATTTTTCTCCTGATTGTGAAAATGATATTCGCTTCATTTGGCACTAAAGTTCTGACGATCAAAGTCTCTGAAAGAATCATGCATAGTTTGTTTCCTAATCATATGATGAGTAAAACGAAAAGAAAAAGAATTTCGAATAAATATTGAGACTTGATGCTACTGGCACATTCCGATGTTTATAGGCTTTTCTGATTTTGTTAAGTCTCGCTACAAAAAAATAATTCCCATATGTCAAAAATAACATATTTAGAGTTCATTCGATGAGTTCTATCTAGCCAACATTGACAATAAAAACTGCTCAAAAAAGATGTTTGCTCAAATTTCGAATTGTCAACACCTTACCAAAATTTTACTTTTCACAAAATAGAAAACTTACGATTATCTTTTTCTTTTATCGTCGATATTCAAATTGACCAACACATCGAATAATATCCAATGAAAAAAAACTAAACATAGTATTTCAAAATGAATCTTTCTTTTTTTTTTTTAATTTCAATTCAACTTACAACAACTGATGCTAATGATGTAATCTTTTTGACTTTCGATGACATCTGCAAACATGATTCATTAAACATAATATTCTATTATTCATTCTCTAGTAATACTACTGTCGTGCTTTTTTTTTTTTATAAAATAAAACAATTATGCATACACACACAAATGTAGGAATGATTAATTCTATCAAACAAGAAAACAAAAAAACCTTCTAAACTGTTTATTCTTAACGAACATCAATCTGTGAAATAATACTAGCATTATTATCTGCACCATTCGTTGTTTTTCGTAAACGTCTTAAACGTTCTTGAAATAATGTATTCATATGATAACGAAGTGCTGTACTACGACGGCGAAGATCATTTTCACATATATCATGATTTGAACCAAGATGTTGAGCATCTTCTAATGACATTTTTGTTAATTCTAATTGTGTACCTGATTCAGTACGTAAATCAAGACTTTTAGCTGATTTATCCAAAGGTGCAACACGAGCTGTATTAAAACCAGCTAAGCAATGCTAAAAAATAAATAATTATTTAATACAAGGGGAAACAAACTGATTTCTAGTTTAGAAATCAACTGGAAATCACTGGAAATCACTGGAAATCACTGGAAATCACTAGAAATCACTGGAAATCACTGGAAATCGCTAGAAATCACTGGAAATCTCTGGAAATCACTAGAAATCACTGGAAATCACTAGAAATCACTGGAAATCTCTGGAAATCACTAGAAATCACTGGAAATCGCAAGATGATTTTCTGGTGATTTCTAGTGGTTTCTAGTGATTTCTGATGATTTCTGGTGATTTCTAGTGATTTCTGGTGATTTCTAGTGATTTCTGATGATTTCTGGTGATTTCCAGTGATTTCTTTGATTTCTCTGATTTTCAGTGATTTCTAGTGATTTCCAGTGATTTCCAATGATTCCTATGATTTCTGACGATTTCTGTTATTACAAACCAGTTTTTTTGACCCTTCCGAGAAATCACCAGAAATCACTAGAAATCACCAGAAATCACTGGAAATCACTAGAAATCACCAGAAATCACTGGAAATCACTAGAAATCAGAAATCAGTTTGTTCCCCCTTGATTTAATAGAAAAAAAAAAAAGCAAAATTTATATTATTACATTAGCAAGAGCAACACTATCAGTTGATAAATCTGACAGATTAGCACGTTTTCGTGGTTGGAATTGATATGTATTTGAATTTACACGATATTTTGGAATGCTAACACTATTAAAAAGAATTTTGTTTTTTGAATTCAGTCAAAATTTTTTGATAATCATTACCGTGCATATTGTGGTTCATATGCATTAGGTTCTTTACGTAATGATGAACAAACTGGACAACGACTTTGTCCATTAATATCGGGATTTGTTGGAACAGTAAAAAGACGATCATTAATAGTAAAACTATGTATACCTATAAAGAATAAATAAATATATATACGAATGAAATCATTTTGTTAGCGACATAACTTTACAAAAGTAAAATGCGTGTATCTCTGAATAATGAATTTTTCTAGAGTAAGAATTTTTTGTATGTTAAGTTACTCTGAAAAAGTCAGCGACAGAGACTTTTGTTCGAAGAAGTTATCAGTGAAAAACTAGCATTAGCAACAAAGACACAAAAAACAAGGATATTGCCATCTACTTCATGCATTTGAATTTAAAAAGCCTCCGAATTGAAACAGGAGTTTTTTGAAAAATAAATAGTATATTCTGTAGGCAATTCTTAAGGCTGCAAAACGTCTATCCAAAGTTTTTTCTGAGTATGCTGATAGAGCTAATATTTTTATATATGTCTAAACTAATAGAACTTATTTAGAAAAATAATCCTTGTCAAGAATCAAAGTCAAATGAAAGGGATATATGGTCCATATATATCCCATCACTGAATTTTTATATTTACAATTATGAGCATGTTGATAACCATCTGGTGGTACAAGTTCGAGTTCTTTTGAAAAATCTGTTAAATCAGCTTCACTAAATTATTCAAAAAAAAATTAATTAATTGATTAATGAAATGTTTTTTTGTTTTTGTTCTATACTTTGATATTGTATAAGATGTCGATTGATCTAAATTATTCTTTCGAAATGATACTAATTCATCTAAATATGAATCCGATAAAGAATTTTCATTATTTAATAATAATGATTTTTCATTATCAAGTAATCCAGCAACAAAATCATAACCAAGTAAAACTTTTTGACGATTATGAAATGATGTTTGTTGTTGATGTTTTTTCGGTGATATACTTCTATTTTTTCGTTGTTGTTTTAATGACATATTTTGTCGTTCATGAATACGTTTCTATTTTTTTTTGAAAGAAGACAAAAAATAAAATTACATTAAATCATTCTTATAAAACATACTTTGATTTGCTCAATATTATCTGTTGTCCAAACTTGTTGGTTATTAGTTGGTGTTCGTAATGTATTATAATAAACATCTCTATCATTACCTTCATCAAATAATGAACGCCAATGTTTAAGCTATATGAAGTAGAAAAATGATTAGAAAAAAAAATTAAATTAAAAAAAATTAACCTCATTCCAAGGTTCATTTATTTTTTGTACAGTTTCTTTAGATTCATTTTTTTCTTCTTCTTCTTCTTCTTCGTTATCATCTTCATCATCGGTATTATATGAATAATTAAGTCCTTTTCGTCGTTGATTTTGAACATTTTTTAAATATTGATCAATATCAATACGAGAGATATTATCCGGAATATTAACAACGAATGGTTCAAGTGAACTTTTTTCATCATTAATAATTTCTTGTTTTTTTAATATCGAACGTGGTTTCAATTGGTCAGTCGATGTCTATAATTAAATTGTAAGAAATAAATATTACAATGGATTCAAAAAACTCTCTGTACCCTCATATAAGATTGATCATCATCATCATCAAGAAATGACACGCTTTTGCTTTTTTTCAATGTACCTATTGGATCATTTGTTATTGTTTTTAATTGATTTGAAATTATTTCTTGTCGAACTTTAAGACGATCAATTAAAGATCGAGATTGTTCGGCAAGACTTTCGTTACTTGCCATCTTTTTGAACTATTCTAGATATACAAAAAAAAAAAGGAAAAGAAAAAGAAAAAGGCAGAACGGAACAAATAATAAATAAACACTAGTGATCTATATTAACCAATCAACTAACAAAATAATAGATGTCTATACATATATTTTCTTTGATTGGTTCAAGAGTAAATATAAATCAATCTCTATTACTATTATTCTATCGTCTACTATAATCATTTAGTTAAAAAGAAGAAGAAAACAATCAATTTAGTTTCAATTGATGCTTTTTTATTTTGATTATCTTGTATTGTTGATGTATTATTATTATTATTGTTCTTTATCATGCCAACTGATATAACAAATACATCTGATGAATTATTTGAAATATTTGTAAATGCTCAAACATTTAAAACAATACTTCATTCATTTGATGATTTATGTCAATCAATTCGTATTGATAGAAAAATAATTGGTTATGGAAAACGATCATTATATAAAGTTTTAACAAGTAAATTAACATCATGGAAATCAAAAAGTCTTTGGACTAAAATAGATAAACGTGGTTCACAAAAAGAATATGAAAATGGAAATGCTTGTGCTGATATGAAGGTAAAGAATACCTATAAAAATCATGATAATAAATATTTTTATTAACATATTTTGAACAAAATAACAAAAATCATCTAAATTATTTTCATATCTAGATCTTCTATTAAAGAATATTATGTAAGCGTGCGTGAACGCTTTCATTTATATCTATTTATTTTTTTAAAGAGTTTTTCGTTTTTTTAAACTTTTGCATGAACTTTTGTTTACCGCGCAGTGACAGCAACAATAAATAAACCAATAAATCCTTGCTTAAAAAAAGAATTTTTTTTCGATCCTGGATGCATGTAAACAGCTTTTTTTTCTTAGCATGGTGAATTTCCATTTTCCTTTTCTTTTTGTTTCTTATTACAATTACCGTTCATCATTTTGTACCAACCATCAATCACTACCAGTTCTATAATCTCTTTCTTTGGCTATCGTTGTATATAATATATATAAACATCGACACTTGTGTATGGTGTAAGATTACATTTCGTGTATATGACTATGTATATATTCTCAGTAAAGGCAATGCAAGACAGAGACAAAAGATAATTGGAAAGAACGAGAGGTATTATATATACATATATATATATACTTCAGTATAAGAGTAAGTGAATAGTAAAAAAAGAAAGAGATCATTGACAATGTATGAATAAACAAAGAACATATAATAATTGTCCATTGAATTGTTTAATAGAAAAAAGAAAATGTATACTTGTTCGAAAGACATAACAAAAACCAGAATGTTTTGTTATAATATTAACTTTCTTGGCTTCCATAAAACAATAAATAAAATAAACTTTTAATGAAAAATACTTTAGAAAGAAGAAAAAAAAAGAAACTACATGTAAATTAAAGGATGAGATTATATAAGGTTTCTTTTTCTTTTCTATCTACAAAAGAGAAACCATTTTGGTTTGTTTTTAGGTATGTATTGTGGGTGCTGGTCCTGTTGGCCTTCGTTTAGCAATTGAATGTGCATTATTAGGTGCACGATGTATAGTTGTTGAAAAACGAGACAGGTTTCATATGTTATATTTATTTTTGCATTTTAATACTGAATATATTTATATTCAGATTTTCTCGTCACAATGTTCTTCATTTATGGCCTTATATAATTACTGATTTAAGAAATTTAGGTGCTAAAGTTTTCTATGGTAAATTTGCTACAGGACAAATTGAACATATAAGTTCGTAGATAAACTATTTATAGAAATCTTATATATATTAATTCTTAATTGTTTATACATATCTTATATAGGTATTCGACAATTACAGTGTATTCTATTAAAAATTGCACTTGTACTTGGTGTTGAAATCTATCCAAATGTTACATTTATTGATGTTATTGAACCAATATCAACTCAACAAGGTAAGTAATTATTTGATATTTTAGATGATTGTAAATATCATTTTTATTTGAAAAGCATGGCGAGCTCATTTTAAACCTGAAGCTCATCCAATAGTATCAACATATGAATTTAGTGTTTTAATTGGTGCTGATGGTCGTCGTAATTCATTACAAGGTTTTCAACATAAAGAATTTCGTGGTAAATTAGCTATTGGTATAACATGTAATTTTATCAATCATCATACTCGTGAAGAACAAAATTTTGAAGGTTTGAACTTTTTATTTATATTTAAAGAATAATGTTTTTGTTTTTTCATTTAGAAATTAGTGGTGTAGCAAAAATTTATAATCCACAATTTTTTAGTGAACTTCAACAACAAACATCAATTGATCTTGAAAATATTGTTTATTATAAAAATGATACACATTATTTTGTTATGACAGCTAAAAAACAATCATTACTTGATAAAGGTGTTATACTTCAAGATTATCCTGATGCTGCTAGATTATTAGCAAGAGATAATGTTAATTCTACACAATTATGTAAATTTGCTTGTGAAGCTGCACAATTTGCAACAAAATGTTCAACACAATTCGCATTTGAATTTGCCGTAAGATTGTTTTATCAATTAATCATATAACTCAGACATCGCTGAACATACATATATATGTATAACGAGGAGGAGGCGGTGTCTAAATGAATGATTAAGTTTTGAATTTCGTATTTTTTTTTATTATGGAATATGTTTTATTGAAAAATATTCTACAACTTTCAAAAAACAACAAAAGAAACGAAAAATCTTATTTTATCTACGCCGCTTTTGTTTTCAATGTAGACGAAATTCTATTCGATCATTTTTTTTTATGACTGTGTACACCATAAAGTCCTTGTCTTTTATTCAATATTATTGTTAAGAATAATTCGATGTCCCTCTGTGATTGCTTATGCAGTTCTTTTCATACATTGCTATTGATTCTATATGTGTACGTAACATTGCGCTACTTTGTTGATAAGTCAAATTATTACTAAGCAACCATCTTACATTAGATTGTGTGCACGTAAAAGAATAACACATTTATGTGACAAGCTTTTATCACGTTTAGATATGATCGAAGAGAGATTAGACAATTTTAAGAACGATGTAATCATGTTATTATTATTCTTTCTGGATACTTAGTTTTTTTTTTTCGGTGGTCTATGTCACGACATTCATCTGTTTCCTGTCAATTTACAGCACAGACACGTTCATTTTGATGATTAAATAGTACATCTAATAACAAGTAGTTTTTGTTAGTGAATGAAACACTACAAAAATCTATTTTAATGCTTTTTTTTTATAGTTAATATGCAAATGAGATTTTTCTTTGTCTTTTATTTTCATCATTCAACTTTCATTGATTTGTAATATGATAAACACGTAAATGAATATTGTTCTTAACTATGCAATCTATCCTTATTTTATAAACATCAAATGATCTAGTTGATTGTCTCCGTACATCGACGATCATTGTAAACTAATGGTTGTCTCATTTTTATGTATAAAATTTCTTGTTTGTACAAGTTTAGATTTACTAATAGATTTGTTTTAAAATCGACTTTCGTCCATGTTTGGTAACTGTTTGTCAATGCACAGAGATAGCATGTCGTTATCAACCACTTTACATAACCGCTTTCTCAATTTTTTCAGATTGCATATCTTTTTATCAACTAAAAGCACTTGTAGAAACTATGACATACTATTTTATATAGCTCATATATGCCTTTAACATATAACACAAGGATGAGTGGAGGAAGACAATTGGGAATGTATATTGATTGGCTTATAATCAGTCATTGATTAAAGCCCTCGACATGACTCTTGAATTAATGAAATAAGAAAAAGAATTGTTTGTATATACAAAAAAAAAATGATCGTATTCGAAGCATAAAATAATAATCGAATAGAATTTCGTCTATTCTGAAAACAAAAGCTGTCTACATAAAATAAGATGTTTCGTTTTTGAAAAGTATAGAACTTTCCAGACTGTATCTTGTAATTTATTTTGTTTTTTTTTTGATAATACATATTCGATGAAAAACAAGATGTAATGCAAAACTGAACATTGATTTAGGCATGAACCATTCTGTTTCTCAATAGTGATGATTTATTGTAAGAGAAAATGACAATTTGGATTTTGTAAACTATCAGCAAATTGTCTAAAAGATTTTCAAATTCTAATTATATCTTTTTCAAGTAATTTTTCTTTTGTATTGTTGAGACTTTGAAGAACAAATCTATGTATAAAAATTCATTGAATGCTATGTATACTAAAAAGAACTTAGTATTCGATTAATATGTGAATAATTATTTAAATATATCAAATAGAATGATCTGTATGAAAGAATGAAGTTGTGTAAAATATTTTTACAAAGAAGTCTATTCAGATTTTACATGTGAAGATATTTCTATTGTGGACTGTAAGCATTTTTTTTCGATCTCATTCTCAGTAGGTAACATTTTCAATGTGAACAGTCATCTAATTTCATAGGATCTTTTTAGTATTGTTTCAATACTGGGAATCAGAATTTCGGAATACAAAAATTTAAAGAAAAAACGTCGCGCACAATAAAATCGAGTTTTTAAGTCGAAAGTGAACATTTCTCTTTTGAATTTTTCTTTTTCAAGAATTTTCAGTCTCCATATTTTTTCCTTTTCTAATTGACGAGAGACATTGACTTACTGTGATATACCTTCAAGAAAGAAGATGCAATACACTTTAGTCGCTATAATAATGATTTTAAAAGAAAAAAAGCACAAATCTTTCAAAAATAGACATTTTGAAAAAGCTCCCTCGAGTATTCACTATAGAGAGAGATTATACTATACCGAGTGTGACAAAAGTTTTGCGACATTTCATAAGAATCAATTTATTTCAAGAAAAAACAAAGTAATAAAATAACAATAATATATTTCAGAAGCTACAATAGAGTACTAATAGAATTAATTATATTGATCTATAATCAGTTCACCATCATGTTTTTCCACTGAAGACACTCTTCGAAGGAATGTACTATCAATTATTACCCGTACATTAGTAATATCAACTTTCTTCATTGCTTTCTCGACAAATCGTCGATTGTTTTTGACTTTATAATATTCCACATGGTTTGAGATGTTATCCCATATAGAATAATCTAATGGATTAAGTTCTGGAGAATTTGATGGCCGTCTTTCTTTTGGAATGAAGAATTTGAAGTTCTTTTTTGCGCCATCCTTGAGCTTTTTGATCGGTATCAGAGTTAGTTTCGTCCTGCTGGAAGCCTCAATTTTGGTGTTCAAATAATCGATCACCTCCCCCCCCCCCTTTTATAAAATGGTAACCATTGATCATAATAACTTTTGCCATTCAGCCGTTCTGCTTTTTGAAAAAAATATGGACGTGTAAGTCCATGCCATGTAGCAACCATGATGCACACTGGATATTTTTTCATTTCATGTAGCCCATTGCATTCATTGGCATCAGATCGGTTATCGACTCAAACAACGTTATTTTTTAGATTAAAATAACCGTTTCTTATAAATATTTTTTTCACCAATGAGCATCATTCTTTTCAATTTATCACAGCTCATGTTCTTCTTCAGGATCCCAAAAAAGTCAAATTTGTCGATTTTGTAATTTATAGCTCGTTAGATAGAGCAAAGTGTTTACTTTCGAATGCACTATAGTTTATTGATTTTATAATGAGATTTAAGAAAATTACATAGGCTTTTCTGAACCTTTTACAGAAGAAAATAACGTTTTTTCTAAAAACTTTTGGTTTTTTCTCAAAATAGAGTTTTTGATTTTGACATTTACGTACGTCCCAGATTTCTCCGCTATTTTAAATGCTAGAAAGCTGAGCTTCGTGTCAAAATGAAGACAAAAATTAGCTCTAAAACTTAACAGAGCCAGATTTTTCGATTTCTCCATTAATGTCTATAAAAAAACTAACTGTTCTGGGCCTATACCTCTTGGGTTTTCCATATTCCATTAGAGGAGTTTTCTAAAAACACAAGCTCAGAGAAAATTGAAAAATCAAGCCCTGCTAAGTTGTAGTACCCTATTTTAGCTACATTTTAAAATCAGCTCGAACTTTCTAGCATTTGAAATGGCGAAGAAATTTGGTACGCACGAAAACCTAAATTTTGATCCATAATCTTAAGCTAACTCTTCGTAGACTCAATGTATCGAGCTGAAATTTTTTACTGTAAGGTGTTTAGCTCGAGATACTTCTCCACTGGAAATTTCATCAAGATTGGATGCTAAACAAAAAAAAATTCATTTTTGAACATGTTCCCTTAATCCATTGGCAATATGTTTTTTTTCTTATTGGTTTTTGATCTTCTTTTAACTTTTGAATATTAATTTTTCGATAACAGTTTTGCCTAAATCAGCATTGAGTACTCACTTGATGGTTCTAGTATTACTTTTGAAGTCTTTAGTCATTGTTCGTGAACTTTTTCGGAGAAGGTTGGAAAATTGATAAATGACTTTCCTACGACCAGTCCTTGGTCTTCTTGATTTTACGTTAACACCTATTGAACTAGTTTGTTTATACCGACATAGCCAGTGATCAATTGTATTTTGGTAAACCTCCCAGGTCGAGAAATCCAACCACTGAATCTTGTCGGATTCGACCAGATTCAATATCGGATTATGCCGGAAATGGTAGAATTCCGACTCATTCTGGTCGGATTCTATCGGATTGAATCCAGAATCCGACGAACATTTGACAGGGAACGGATCTTGTCGGATCCCTGGCCGTATTTTAGAAGAACTGACAGGATCAAGTTGGATGTGAATCGGCGTTCTATAGTCCTTCTTTTTCAGTTCTACTATCATTTTTTATGTATTATAAACAATCGGATTTATGACGCATCTGGTAAAGACCGACGGTCTACACCTACATCATTAAATCTATACCCTTAATTCTATACTCCTAAGCCTATAACCTTACACCTATAGCCTTAACTCTATGCCCTTATATCTATATCCTTACACCTATACCTCTAAATCTATATTCTTTCATCTATGCCCTTACACCTATACCCTTAAATCTATCTCTTAACCCTATACCTTTAATTTTATGCCCTTATAGCTATATCGTTACACCTACACCCTTAAATCTATAGTCTTACATCTATACCCTTAACCCTATACCCTTACAGCTATACCCTTATTTCTATATTTTCACACCTACACCCTTAAGTCTATACCCTTACATCTATACCCTTAAACCTATATCCTTAAATCTATACCATTATATCTATATCCTTACACCTATATTCTTAATTCTATGGCCTTATATCCATATCCTTACACGTATACTCTTAATTGTATGCCCTTAAACCTGTAGTCTTATTTCTATACCCTTATCTCTATAATTTTAATACGATACGCTATACATACGGCTCTATGAGCATACGCTTATCACTATATCTGAATACCGACATCCTATACCCATATTCTTATGACTGTATCTTGATACTTATACTATGAAATCTATACGGCTTATCTATACCTTATGACTCTGCTCTTATCACTAAAATCTAAGGCCTATACCTCTACAGTGAGAGCCCTTGCAAACCGCACAGATGCTTTTTTGTTATATGCATAGACAGCTTGATACTTGCTATAGTTCTTATACACTCTTATACTCTGTATACTCCTTGTGCTACTATATCTATATATAATGTTTATATATATATATAGATAGATAGCCTTAGCCCCTTATAGCGTTATCCACTTATAGTCTTTCCTCCCCAATCTCCTTTACCCTTATCCCCTTATGGTCTTATTCGACCTGTAATCTTTGAGCCTGCTATCCGTTGTAGCTCTTGTAGGTTTATCTGCAAATTGTCTTTTCCTTATTACCTACCCCTTACTACCTTACGCCTTTCAGGGCCTATGCGTACCCGCATGGGATTGCCCATGAGGACCTATGGATACCTCCATAAGATAGCTTTTGACGACCCATGGGTAGCGCCGTAGAACGGCCCTTGTAGCCTTCCCTTAGAGGCTTATTTAATCTTTGACCTTTAACTTTTAACTCAGCACAGACAGAGACACAGACACACTGAGCAATATATATAGATGGCTATATCCTAATGTCTAAACCGTTATGACTATAGCCTTAAAAGTGCTCATGAATGCCTATATCCCGATGCTTCTTCCCTCCAACCTAAACCTCGATATGTTTAGCGTGATCATTATATCGTCAGAATTATACCCTTATGACGAGCTCATATCCTTATATCTATATCTTTTACTCTTCTCCATCATACCTTTATCCTTATTTCTGTAGCCTTCGAGCTACAGAATCAAAGCAGTGCCTTTTGCGATTCCACTTAAACTGTTATATGTGGTAACTCACCTGATCTTTATTAACTGTTATTTATATTCGACCAGGCATATGAAAAATTGAAGACTGATAACCATTTTGTAACAATGTTTCTGCATCCGACACAATTTGTTGCATGCCTTAGCTGACTTTCTACGGAATCTACAACAACATTCTACTAGACAGAATTTTTATACAGATTTCATGGTGCACTGTAATCCGACCACTACCTGCTCGGAACCGGTAATCGGAATACATCGGAAATTATGCACATCAACTAAGATTCGATCGGATTTCGACAATCGGAATTCGATCGGATTCAGTCATCGGAATTCATCGGATTGAAACAGATCCGACAGAATCCGATGGCTGACTTTTGACCTGGGCTTATTTACCAATAATTTTGCAATTTCTGGTGTTTTTTTTCCCATTTTCATAGTGGGAAATAGCTATATCTCGTAGATCGTCACTTTTAACTATTTAGAAATCAACCAAAAAAACAGTAAAAAAAACAAAAAGGTATAAAAAAAAATAACAACCTATCAGAGCGATGAGGGATGTTAATATCTACTAAAATAATATAAAATAAACGAGTTATTGCAACAAAGCAATGGCACACAAGGACTTTTTTAAATATCGCAAAACTTTTGTCATACCTGGTATAAAATTTTATTAGCAAAAGAATTCTCAAATAAATTTGTTCTATATCATATTTTAATTTTCTATATAATAGGAAGATCATCATGGTGCAGCCGATGTACAAATGTTTGATTTTACATCATTATTTCATGCTGTTAATGCTTCACGTATTATTGAACGTAATGGTAAACAAATTTTAATGTTACTTGTTGGTGATAGTTTACTTGAAGTAAATTAATTGAAATAAATTTTTTTTTAATTTATATATTATTATATATCTAGAGTTTTTGGCCAACTGGTTCTGGTATTGGTCTTGGATTTTTTGGTTTATTTGATACAGCATGGTCTATATTAAAATTTGCTAAACATGAACATCCACTTAAAGTTCTTGTTGAACGTGAAAGTATATATATGTTATTATCCCAAAGTACACCTGAAAATACGAAAAATAATCATCAGTTATATTCAATAAATCCAGCAACACGATATCAAAATTCAAATTCCAAAAGCTGTACAATTGATGAAATTCGATATTTATATGATTCCGATAGTATACCAACAATTGATATGAATAATAATCATGTAATATCAAATAAATCTAATCGAACACCTACTCGACGTACACAAAGTTTTAAACAAGCTCCCTCACCATTATCATTATCATCATCATCATCAGATGGTAAGTGAATATTAAAACGAAGAAATTATTTCAAATTTACTTTTTGTTTTTTATTTTTGAAGGAAACAATCAACAAGAAACTGTATTTGAATGGTGTGAAGAAATTGTTAATTCTTATAATATTAATATCAAAAATAACTCAAAATCATTTCAAAATTGTCTTGCATTTTGTGCTATTGTACATTATTATCGACCTGATTTAATGTATGTACAAAAAAATAAAATAAAATTCTTTTATATATTGTTTTTCTTTTATTTCTAGTAATTTCAAATCACTTCAACCTGATCGTCCAATTAGTAATTTTCAAATTGTATGTTTTACTTTTTTCGATTGATAAATAAAATCATTTTGTTTGTTAAGTTATTCGATATAATGCATAATCAATTGTCATTACCACTTGATCGTAAATTACAAAATAGTCTTATTTTATCAATGAAAAGTTCAATTGAAGAACGTATACGTCAATCATCAATTGTTATTCTTCAATTATTATATACACATTTTCATCATGATCATCATGAACAACAATTAAAACAACGTCGATCAAGTACTCCATCACTTGAAATTTCATCACCAACATTACAAAAATCAAAAAAACCAATAGACAATACCAATAATATAAATACAAATACAACTAATAATAATAATAATAATAATAATTCAACAGTTAAAGTCAGCGCTCTTGTTGCTCATTATTCAAATGGTGATACATCATCATCAGCTAATGTAGGTGTTGATTGATCTTAGAATATTAGCATAGTTATCGAAGAAGGCAAACAGTTTTTGCGCAGACAGTTTGAATATAATATAAAAATATGGTTTTATAATTGATATCGAAGTGGAATGCGTATACTTCATAGGCATAAAGATTACCTTTGTTTTTTGTATTCTTTACAGTCTGGAAATATATTTTTTTTAGCAGCAGCTGTAATGACCCATAGAAAAACATGTGACAAATGTCTTTAGTTTCTTTTTCTAGGAGTTTAGACGATCGATGAATGACGAGGTGTAAATCTTTACTATTATTTTGCCTCAATAATACATTAATAATCTTCTTTTCATATTTATTTATGCATCATAAAATTTCTATGATGCGTGAATTTTTCATTATAAATGTAATTTTTAAAAAGAAAAAAAGAACATTTTTCTTTTCCTTTAGAATTATAATTTAATTAATTTACAATCCGAACGTGCACCAACATTTTGTTTTTATTGTAAAGAAAAAGTTTCAATACAAGATTGGTTTGTTGTTGAAAAAAATGTTTTACATGTAAAATGTTTTAAATGTGATACGTGTCATTTACAATTACGAAAAACAAATTATCAAGTATTGATTGAACCACATACAGGCAAAATATCATTTCATTGTCGATATCACAATTTAAATAAACAACAAAAAGTAAAACACAAAACAAAACAAAAAATATAGATTTTTTTTCATTTACATATTTTATTATTTTTTTGAAAGGATGAGAATAGTAATAATCCATTAGAACTTGGTAAGTATAATGTTATTCTTTTTCTTTTTTATTTATTCTTATATTTTCATCGATATAATCTTCTCCAATAACCAATAAATAATTGTTTTAAATCATGACGAAAACGTTTACCAAGAACAAAATAAAAAATAAAATTTACTGAATGATTTATAATCATTAATAAACGTGCAAGTGTATAAAAAAGAAATATGTCAGAATCAGTATTGTCAGTTGTTATTGAATTTAGATAATTATTATAAAGTGTTGATGATCTTGTATGTAATTTTGTTGATATAATTAAATCAAAAACAACAACTGGTAATGTTAAAACTAAAAATGAACATGAAACAAATAATAATAATATTGTTAAACGTGTATGATTTGAATTTGATGTATTTATTGATTTATGACCTATACATGAAATTTCATGTTGATAACGTGAACGATTTTTCATTTCAAATGATGTTGTTGATAATTCAGTTGATGTACTTGATATTTTAGTACTATAATGTAAACGCCGTTCTTCTGATTGACCTAATTACAGAAACAAAAAATTTGAATAGAAAAAAAAAAATAACTTACTCGATTGTGGATGTAACAGAATAACTAATGGTTTTGCTTCTGAAACAGAGGGAAAACGCCGAAAATGACGATGTTGATTTTCATTCATTTCAATTGTTTGATGATTTTGAGAATAATGTCGATGTTTTATATCTTGTTGATTTTGTCTTGATGGATAATTACTAAATCGAAACATACGTTGTCGAAATCGTTGTGCATCAATTAATCGACGAATAATTAATGAATTAAGTGTAATAATTATTAAAAATGGTATAAAATTATAAACTGCAAAATCAATGTAAACCCATTTTTGTTCATAACGTTTACCTGTTACATCACATCGAATCACGTCACGTCTTTCATAGCTAAAAGATGTATCATTCTGACATACTGATACAATATGAATATTTTCCTTTGTATGTTTAACAAATGTTAATACTGGAGTATCAAGTACAAAGAAAAATATAATTAAAATAGCTAATACAATACGTGTATGTGTAACATTATTAATTTTATGTGCAATCAATGGATATTGTACAGCAATAAAGCGTTCAACAGTAACACCAACAACAAGACCAGCCGATAAATGTGTTGTAAAATTTCCAAAGAAATAAACCAAGCGACATGAAAAATCTGATAAAAATCTTATATCAAATTTATTATTTATTTGTGATATCCAATTAGGTAATGCACTAATTAATAAAAATAAACAATCAACCAATGCTAATAATGTTAAATAAAGACTAGATGGATAACCACTACGACGAGCATTAATAAACATAATAAGACATGATAATTTATTACCAAATATACCCATGAAAATAAATAATGGATAAATATATAAATGAATATATTTTGCAATTATAGAATTAAGATTTTCTTTTCCAATTTCATCAGATGTTGATATTGCTGATGTAACACGACATGTATTATTATGATCATCATAATCGTTGAGAGAAAATGAACAATGAATATACTGACATATTGATTGTACACTAGTGGAATGTCGTTGATCATGAGTAATAGCCAGTATGGCTCGTACGAGTTCTCTTGTTGCATTATGTATATTACCATCCATTATGCGCACTTATTGTTGTCGTATTTTGCTTCCGTCACTGTCTATCTAGATACTACTATAGTTTGAATAAAGAAAGAAATGACGTGATAGGAAAAAAAAATAGAAAAAAAACGAATGAGTTTGTTCTTCTTCTTCTCGTCTTCCTTCCTTTTTTTTTCTTTTTATCCCAAGTCTTTTTACTTTCATTCAACTATAAATATAAGCCTTTCGGTTCAATAATGTAGCAAAAGAACTGTCTCTTATTAATCAATACTTAACACTGTTAAATTTTTTATGTGTACCATCAGAGATCAAAAAAGAAATTAATCTCGAACAAGGGCATTTAAAATTGGAACTAGATAAACAAAAAGAAAAAAAAAAAGAAAAAAGAAAATCTTAAAAACGTTTACTATATTTAATAGGCCTTGAGCAAAACAAACGTTCATTATCATTTGATGAAACAAACATTGCTAAAAACCAACAAATATATCCAACTCGGCATTTAGATAACACAACAGCTGATGAACGTGTTTCATTTAGTTTAGACAAAGAATTTCCTGATGATGATAAAGAGGAAATTGTTTATAGTTCGGCATCAAATATAATGTGAGTCTTTTCATGATCATTTAGATTCTTATTGCCTAAAACATATTCATTTTAATTCACAGAAACGATAACAATAATGATGATGATGATGATGATGATGATGATGATGAACAAGCATCAGCAAGAACCAATGGTAATTCAAGCAGTTCTTCATCAAAAGAAACAACTGATGAAGAAGCAGTTGATGATGATGTTGATGTTGATGATGAATCGGAAAACGAAGAAGAAGAAAGAAACAATGTAGATGATGACTCAGTGTAAGTTTTTATATTTGTTATTTTTTATTCTTTTAATGAGATATTATATTTCAACCACATCAACGAAGACAATAACGCAATAGAAACTTTTGCTTTTTTTCGGTTATATTTTCATCAATTAAATTATCTATATAAATTTGAACAGAACTAAAGAAAACATGGAAAAAATATGTTTGATGGTTGATAAAACCTGTTGTTTCTGCATGTTAATTTTCTATCTAAACAAAAGAAAGCAGTTTGTGCCAAGATGTATGAATGAAATAAACATGCATAGTGTAGTGATTTGATTTCTTTTGCTTTCATATGTTAATTTTTAACAAAAACAAATTGATTAGAACATTGCGTGATGTAAAAAAAAAGCTAGACAGATTATCTACGCATTTTTATTTTATCATATAATCCATAAATTGTTTTAATTTTCATTAAATTATAGGCTTAAATTAAATAAGTCAAAAAGTAATTCAATCACAGATATATTTAAACGACTTCATGAAAAACAAATATTTGCTGAACGAAAACAATATATAAGTATTGGTAAAAAAAATTTAAATCAAAATTAAATTTGAATCATTAAAAAAAAATTTTTTTATTCAATTAGATTCTGGTCATATTCAATCAGAATCTCCATCGCCTGTTGATCTTTCACCATCATCAATATCACCAATCAATCAACAAGTATTGACATCAAAAAAATCAGATACGATAACATATGTAAGTTAATCTAAAATTCGTGATTTTTTAAATGAAATTTATTTATGAACCCTCAGATACCTCATCATTCATCTGATAGGATGTTGTTATTGTCACGTCACCTGTTGTAATTTAATAGGTTAACAGAGTATCAGAGATTTTCTTACTCAAGTCTACAGATGTGCAGGTCAATTTACTAACCATCAACGTCACGGACTCTGTGTACTCAGTGTGCATACTGACTACATGCACAAACTGATACATTACCATCAATGTAACAAAAAAAAACTGAGATATTTTGATAGAGTTAGTTTGTAGCGAACACGAATGTCAGTGTAATCAATGTTCTCAGTGGACTTGTTGTCGATAACTCATTGTTCAATATTTATACTAATGCATAACATTCCTATTGAAGTTTTCTATTTAAAATTTCTTTTAGTCATATTTTCGTGCACCTTGTCCTGTTTGTGGTGGTTCAACATATGATAATACATCAACTATTGAAATAGGAAAACAATGTTATCATAAAACATGTTTATATTGTTATTCATGTGAAAAACAATTAAAAGAAAATGAATATAGTTATTATGATTTAACAACGGATGGTACATATAATTTTTATTGTACATTACATTTTTGTAAAAGTCGTCTTAAACAAGTAACAACAACATTAGCAGCAGCAACTCAACAAGGTTTGAAATTAATACTCTTGTCTTTCTTTCTTTTTGTTTTGTTCTATAGAATTTCTTGAGAATAATTGATTAGGTTTTTTTTTTTATTATTTCGATATACTTTGATTGTCATTTAATATTCAGATTTAATGAATGAAAAGTCTTAGACTAAGAATATAACAATATAGAATAATAGTAAACAAAAAAACTGTTTTCAAGAATTTATTTTTGTACTAATATCAATGTATTCATTAGATAAGTTAATAAGAGGATTTTATTTCAATATGAAAATAAGATTATGTGATAGAAATTAAAATCTGAAATATTAGATTTTTTTTGTCTTTTTAATAAACAATTAATGTCATATTAGTATTTAAAAGATAGTTCAAATGTACGGTATTATTAGCTCTATTAAAAATAGAACAACTATAGTATATAGCCTGCTGATTATTCATATTTCAAGGTTATTATCGAATAATTATGTGATGAAAGTTTCTTTTCTTTTTTTTTTTAAGAATGTGAAATTCATTATTTTGTTTCTTGAGAATTATAATAGGTCATGTTGATCCATATTAAAAAATGTTGTGTTTTTTTTTGTAATACTCGAACTAACGTTATTCAGTTGATGTTCTACTAAATTACTGACAGACATGACATAGACAGAATTTCACTACATAATGCTTAGTTTCAGATATGGTTCATTAATATTTGGAAAATGAAAAATATGTTTCTGTTGAAGACAAAGTTTGACAAGTTGTCTGAGATATTTTTGACATTATATAGATTTCATATTTTTATATGATCTTATTAAATAACTTCAACATTGTCCTTGAATGACAATCTTCAGTACAAGCATTCAATTATTTTTTTGTAATACGATTAAATAAGATTAGGATTATTTGTCGTGTCACATTCTGTATTTTAAGTTGTTTTTTTAACTAAATCTATTTGAATTATATTTCAATTCAATATTGTCTATTTTATTTTTTGAAATCACAGAATCCCAATCAAAAACGATTTATCCAAATTTAACTCAATTACGTACTAATACAAATACACAATGGTCTAATAATCTTCGTTTATATCCATCATTAAAAGATGCTCTAAGTTCAAAACCACATCCTCTTAATATTATTCATATATCTGATAATAAAAAAAAACAACAAAATATTGGTTTTGAACATATACATCAATCAATTTTAAATAGTACAAATCAAAAATCTTCACAAACATTAATTCGTAGTAAAACATTTGATGAATCTTTATCTATACAATTAAATGATAATGATGAAAATTTTAATAGTAATACTAAACAAACAAGTAATGATTTAAGTAAACAACGATTTAAAAGGTATGGACAAAATCGTCCATCATCACCATTACCAGTAACAAGTTCACAAATAATATTAACAGAAAATTTAAAATCAAATGAAACAAATTCAGTACCAATAATAAATCGAAAAAAGAAAAAAATTCTTATACCACAATCAAATTTAAATTTATCATCATCATCATCATTACAATCATTAGATGATGAACGAAAACGTTCATCGAATGAACGTCGTCGACAACGTGACGAACGACAAAAAGAACTCGTTCGTTTTCGTCGTTCACAAGAAATTCAACGTGAACTTGAAGAAATTGAACAAAAACGTTTGGAATTTGATAAACGTTATACAATAGCACGTCAAAACTTTAGTAAAAAAAAAAAAAATCTATTCTTTATATTATTTTTTTTTTGTTTAAACTTTCTCTATTACCAAATAGATTTATCAACAAATGATGAAAAGAAAAAAGCTTATTGGGAAAGAGAATGTTTATGTATTGTACGAGAAAAATCAGCGTTACAACGTACAGAAGAAGAATTATCAATGGCTAAACGTGGTTTGACATTAGAAAATGAACGTGCACGTGCAGAAAATGAATATAGACAATTAATTAATTTACCAGGTAATTTACACTTTTACTAATTTCAAATTTCCTATCTCTTTTTTAATCGGAAACTAAGTAAAATATTATTAGAAAAAAAAATAATATGTGTCAAAGAACTTTTATAGAGCTCATTAATTAATTGACTTTTGATAGGTCATCAAGGTCGCAAAAAAAACATTAAAAGGTTTTAGACTGTTTTCAACTTATAGAATTATTTTTTTTTTATTTACGTCAACTATTTAATGGTCCTAAAGGCTTAAGATTTTGATCTGTCTTCTTTCTTTAATTATTAGCTTTCATTAGTATAGCCTGTAGACAACAATAAAGAGTAATTTTATAAATTGTAATAAATAATACCACTCGACAATTTTTTTACGGAAATATAATGACCTGTCAACAACAAAGAGATCATTAAGATGAAAAGACATTTAAATTAATTCTATGTCATGTGTTGTTTTCACCTTTTTACGACGTTTACAATAACAGTCGATTTCAGTACAGAATATTGAATCATACATATCATAAAACTGTAATATTTTCATCTCTTTTCTTTTGAAAATCGTACAAGATATTAAATTATTTTTAAATTGAAAAAATTTTATGTAGAGATTTTCGAAAAAAATTTTTTTTTTTCTATACCAATATACATATTGAGGTCAACAAATCTTTTTATATGTTTTTCTCTTGAATAAATTCTCTGTGATAAAAAAATGATGACGTAGATTGCAAGATGATCATAGAATTATTTATTCTAAATCATAAATTATTAAAAAATGGCAACACATTATTTACTTTATGATGTATATAGGAGTCATCCATAAAATATGCTCAGGAGAGGGTAGAAAGAAGAAAGTCACTCAAATCCGGACATTTTCATGCAGGGAAAGAAAAAGATGACGGGATCAAAGAACCCGAAAATTTTGCTTATTTGTAATTTTTAATGCTGAGTTCAGTTACTATTAAAGTTTAAAATAAAGGTTAATTTAGATTATTTTCTTCTAAATTAAATAATTCCTATCAATTTAGATGAACATAAAACAGCTAAAGATAAAGAACATGAAGAACAATTAATAACAACGATTGCAAAATTAGTAGAAGCGAGAAATAATTTAACAGTTGAACTTGATCAAATGAGACTAAGGTAAGAAGAAAAAAAAACTAAAAATAAATAATTATATATACTTATAAACAATATGCATCTTTTGAATTCATATCTACTTGTTGATAATATTTCGCTTATTATTCATATTAATCAATTTCTTTATCTCATAAATCGTTCTTTTTTCAAAGGAGTTATAGCAACAACTTCTAAAGGTGAGAATATTTGTTTAATATCTAACCTAAATAGGATAAATCATTACTAGTTCCCAAATTTTTCTTTTTTATTAATCAAAACATTCTTCTTTTGTGTCTAGTTTGCACGTTTGTCGCCCTTTTATATCTGTACGTGTTGTCTTCTATTTTGCTCACATTCTAGTTTTTTTTTTCTAATTTTTCGTGTGAATAGATCATTTTCGCTCTCTGTTGGCTAATTGTAAACATTAAATTTATTACATTATTTTTACTTTGTATTGTTTTTTTAGGGAACTACAAGAAGACGAATGTCTACGCCTTGCATTTCAACTTCATGGGATCGAACATCAAACAACGAATTTACCTATATTTGATACTCTTAAAGACATTATTTAATGCATCATTTCTTAATCATTCGAAAATGCCTTAGTTTATTGCGTATTAATGATTTCTTTTTTTCTTCTTTTACTTGATTAATATTGAGCTTAAATATATATATATATATATATACAAAAAAAACGAAAATTTCTAGATCAGTATTTTTCAATACATTTCTTTTTTTTTGTGTTTGTCACATATTCTATTGTACACTTGTCATTTGTTGCTGTTTTTCTTTTTTTTTTATACTGATATATCTTAATAAGCATATCCTCGCTTTTCGTTTGCTTTTGTCTACAAATTTATATTACAAGAATTTCTTTCTTAATCGAATGCAATTATCCTGTGAAAATAAAAATAAAATCTGTTTTTTTTTGATGTTTGTTATTAGACTTTGTAATTGATTATGCTTGGTTTGTTTTCTCGAAAAAAAAATATAATCTATGATTTCATATTTAAACTGATTAAAGAAAAAAACAAAATACTTTTGGTTTTTTTAAATTTCATCATAATTATCTTACAAGATTTGAAATGAATTCTATTGTTTTTATTTTGATATGTAAGTGTTATTTATAATTTTTGATGAATATGTAAAAATAGAAATCGTTATACAAGATATATTTGTATAAACTATATTTATCTACACAATCTTTAATTATTTCCTGAATAAGTCATATTTTATGACTATAACTGACACAACTAACAAAATAAATATAAATAATTCTATGGAAATTTTATGTGTGTAGATTAGCAATGTTCTTAATAATAAGGAGATTTTTGAGATGGAATATGTTTTTCTATAGTGAATACATCAATCAAGGAAGTTATTTACCATAATCATCTTATTATTATTTTTTCTAGCCACATAACTGAAATAATAAAAAAACGATTATAATGATTGTATAAATTAAAAATATCTATGAATTTATTATTTTATATTTTCACAGAATTTACTATCACTATCAGATAAAAAATGTTTCATAAAACAGTAATGAATTCCTCATCAAAAATATATATGTTTAAATGTGTGCTAAGTTTGCGTAGATAACAGTGGCAGCAGAATTTATCAAAAGACTTGATAAAAATTCATGTAAATAATCAGTGTATTTATTTTGCATGAGGGCTAAAAAGATAAAACTTCCAAAAATATTCTAGTCATTACATTAAAAACTATATATTTATTCCTCTAAGGTACTAAGTTACCCATTCGAGAAAAATAAAATTTGCGTAAAAACATAGTAAATGATTCAATTGAATTGAATTAATTAAGATAAGTTTCCGTATTTTGACATTGTTTATTCTCGTGAAAACTGTAGTTTTTTTTTTGCTAAAATAATCATTAATTATGTATTTGATGAATGAACAGCTTCAAGGAAGCAGAAAAAGATTCTAGAGAAACATTATTACATTGACGAATGAATCTTATTTGTTTTCTTTTTCGAGAATTAATACTGATATTTGGCATTATGTTTCGATTTGAATTTGAGCACCTTTTAATAATTAAAACTAAAAAAGAGAATATAATTATAATCATTGAAGACAGCTGGATTTTTTAATTAAGGATTTATTTTGATATATGAGAATTGTTTTGACATATGACAACAATCTTAAAAAAGAATTTCTTGAAAATGCGTTTATAGTCTGGAGTATTCTTTAAATTTGCAATCGTCCACTTTAATTCAATGGCAAGTAGGTCAACAAATAATTGAAAAGTTCAAAAGAACGCTACCATTGGGTTATATGGTAACCGACTACAATGTCTAATCTATAGATTATATTACGAAAATTTTTTTTATTATTAATTTTGTTATACTAAAATTCGCTTGATCAAGTCCTTTTTTTTCTTTGTACAACAATCTTTAAAAATAAATAATTATAAGAATTTTCCAAATATGATATTCTTTGATTGATGATATATCAATTTTTCATATCAATCATACATGACCCATGAAGTTCATTCATGCGTGACTTTTTTTTCTAATGCATATTTCGTGCTTTTGATTGGACACTTATTTTATTTTGTTGATTCTACTTCGTATATATATATATAGTATATACAGGAGCGTAACTACAGGGGGGGGCGCACTTGGTCACGTAATATTCGAACAAAGGTGTCATTTACGGCGTTTATGTAGATGTAATTCAAATATTACGTAGTCCAATGCGTGATTTTTATCCCCCTTCTAGTTACGCCCCTGAGTATATAGATATAAATGTTTCACTCATCAACAGCTGTTTTAAATTTTTGTACTTTATTTAGATTTTCTTACTTCTTGTGAATGATTAAATTATTCAAACGAAAGTCTCAGATGAAATTTGAATCTTTTAGAACAAAAAAGAATATTTTTTGTTTCTTTTAAATAATTATTTTATGATAAACTTTCATCTTGTCATTCGTTGTTTATCTTTTCATCGATTTCATTCGAATAGAAAAAAAAATCGAGTTTATGCACAAAGATATATTTTACTAAGATTATTAGTGTCAAAAATGATTTGAGAATAATACATATCATTCTATTCATTTTAGTATTTGTCTTCGAATTTTGTTTGTTTTTTGTTCATCTGTGATTATATACATTTCCATGGTTGTAAGTTTCTATGTTCAATTTTCTACTGTTGCATCAGTTTTATTATCTATAACATATAGCAACAAGATTTGAAAATAATTACCAATAAGGCCAATATCAATGAAGTTTATCATAAACGATCTATTTCTGGTGAATATCATCGGTTATACAATAGTATTTATTACCTATTAGTAAATCTTATCAAAACCATTGTTGGTTTTGATATTCCTTTGATAACTATTTTATTCATATTATCACTTGGAAATATATTAAGGAAAGATTCATACATGAGTAAAATTTGTCAAATTCCATTACATTGTATAATTTATTTTCTATTGGGTTTTGTTTTATCATATATGTGCTTGAAAAATGTACGAAAATCTCATAAATTATATCGTCAATTGTTTATTCAATATTTGTTCTTACATTTAGTGTTTTCTTTTTTCAAATAACTTATAATGAACATAATTTACATTTATTAATTCGTATTTGTCTTTCAGCTGGTATTAGTATGCTTTTAGTTTGTGCTTATTCATTACATATTTATTATGAAAATGGAACTTGTTATTGATTAATCTATATGATATTCTCTAACATTGAAATGTAGTTTTTAGTATTTATATTTTAATGATATCCACTAAATATTTATAAAAAAAAAACAATAAGAATAAAAATATTTTTCATAAAAATAAAAAAATTCACATTATAAATATTGAGTTTAAACATATAGAGACAAATAACTTCTGAGATATCACATGCATATTTTTTTTCTTTTTGATGGAATATTAAAAAATACATATCAACTTGTTCGTTATAGGTGTTTAAACGATGTATTAACTCTATACATTATGTTTTTTATTGGATTCGATTACAATATTGTTGATCATGCAACATCACGACATGATTAAATCAATTTTCTTCATTTAGCAAACACTGAATAAATTTTTCAACCGTATCTCTTTATATAACTACAATACTAATCACATGTAAATATCGATATCAATTGAAAGTAAATATCATATCTATGATTTAATATTCTTGATTATTTATTATTTTATAAGATAGAATATATAGCTAACAACAAAAAAAAACAAACAAACATTTACGATGGAAACTAATAGTAAATATTGGCAAGTATGAATAGTACCGAAATGAAATTAAAGATTGAAAGAAGTCTAATAATCTTTTGCTTTAAAAATAGTAGTGTTGGTTTTTATTATCATCTTCTTCAATATAAATTGCAATATCTTTATTGATTTTATCATATTTAATATACATAGTTTTATATGCAGATCCATCGATTTGCAAATTTTGAGCTTTATTAAATAAATATTCATTAATTGAATTGCTTTCGTAATTTAATTTATCATTTTTCATCATCCATGCTGGATATGTATTACACCATTTTGTTCTTAATTTGTTGATCTCTTTCATATCGATTTGTTCACCAGTTTTGATCGAATCAATAGCTCGAGGAAAAATTTCTGCAAGAAATTTACACTCAACCGATATTATACCATCCGGATGTTAGTCAGCTATAACTGAATGTGTATTACTGATAATACCAAATGTTTGATCATCTAGTATATCAAGAATATGAGTTACAATTAATTCGGATGTAACTTTTAGTATTGTTTGTTTTTTCGAAGTTGGCTTATAAGTTAATGGTGGTATTCTTTTATTAACTTTAAATTCATTTCCCTAATAAATCTAATATCGATCACCATCAAGATCAGATCCGGCAATTTCATTTGAATATGGTCGAGATCCAAGAATAGAAAATACAATACAATCATGAATACATGATCGAAATGTAGGAATATCAACAGCTTCTAGACGATGAATGTCATCTGGATAAAGACATGGATTCTTTGTTACTAAAACTTCACCTATAGAAAAATAAAACAACAACATTAAAATCAAGACATTCGGAGTTATTTAGTTCGAGTTATGTCCTCACTTGCACATAATTGACACTAAATATATCAGAACTAAGTAGGCATTAGAATTGAAAGAAAGTATGTTTCGAAAGTCTTATCGTATGTGTTCGTTTTCGAATTGTTCTTACCTTTCATAACTTTAAAAGACTTTCTGTCCATTGTTTGATATGGAATAAAACATTGACCTTCTTGTAATGATTTTGTTTCATCTGCAATATCAAATAAACAACGAGCTTCACCGATAGGCAATGAAATTTTGTTACGACATAACAAATCTTTTCTTGATCAATATATCGAAAAAAAAAGTCATATCAATAGCAAAATCTAATATTCTTATGCATTTAAATAACCACATCGTCTACTTTCATCTTTTATACGATCTATATATTTTGAATCAAATATATTGAAATATATTTATTCAGATGGATGCCGTTTGCCTTGTACACAACATCGATTTTGTAATGATTCAATAACAGCTTTATTGTCTTTTTTAAGATCATATAATAGATGTAGAATTTGATTATTTAAACTTAAACAAACTATACTTAACTGTATATATGAAATAACAGAAGATTCATCATTGACTTACTTAATTGAGAATGATCAACAATTTCAAGTGTCCAATCATTACTGTCAAATTTCATCATACTTTTTCGAACTTTTATATAATTATCATTTATTATCGATTGAGGATCAATAGATAACATTCCTTTACATCCAGCAACACATACTTGATAGACAAATGGTATGTCCATCGATATAAGAAGATCATGTAATTTAAAGTAACTATATTTCATTATAGAATATACAGACATCTTTATTAATACGAATTCCAATTGATATAGTTACCTTTTTTTAAGTAAGATCTAATGATACTAGACCTTTACCATCGGTAAAACAGTATTCATTACGTTCAAGATCGACAATAAGATATGCTTTGAATTACATATGATCGGTAGAAGATTTAATCCATCTTTGGAAGAGAATAGTTAATAAAGACCGCAAGGAAATGTTTAAATACTACCAATAATTTTCACGAACAAATGTTAATTTAATCTTTGTAAATAAATAATTTTACAGTTATATGACAAGTTTATTTCGTGCTTACATCTATTGGCTTTGATGTTGTTAGAGAAAGATCGACCCGTCCAATATATGTTGCAATACTTTGGATTTTCTCTAAATCACCTAATACTATTCGTACTTCATTAACTGCAAATGCAGCATTAGTTGAGTTGACTTTAGTAGATGCCAAAAACCAAAATTCTTGTTTCTTCATTTGACTTCCTGATGAGGCAAAATAATAATATATTAATTCTTTGCATCCAAATGAATCCAAACATAAACCATTTAGGAAAATTTTCTTATACTGATTCTTAATTTCATCACTTCTGTTAATATTAATCATTTTATTAAAACTATCTTCAGCTTTAATATAACCAAGCATCCATTCATATCCTTCTTTTTGATCATATTATCACATTACTCGATGACCAGTTGTTAAATGTATTGGTTGAAATAAAATCCGTAGTGGAGTAACAATACCATGTGGAATTCGATATTTTTTTTCAGGTAATATACAATTAAAGACATTTCGAATAAAATAACAATGATCTTTTTGTAAATTATTCCATAAAACATAACATAATTCATAAAATTTATTCGATGATTTCTGATGATATGAAATGAATTTTGTTTGTATATTATTATCGATAAAATATTTATCTTTAACCAAGTAATTCCAGCATTTTCATGCCATAAGAGCCTAATATAGATGAAAAATTTTTATCATTCAAAGATAAACACAAATTTTTGTCATCAGGTGATAAAGAGAATTGAAAATTAACAAAATTTCCTACGAATTGTTTTTGATATGATTGAAAGTCAGAAGTTGTTGAAGAAAATTTTTCGCATTTGTACAACAACCAAATTGTAACCATAAATCTGAATATTGACCAATGACATCAAGATCTATGTTATGTTTCAATAAATTGCAAATTCTAAATACATCAGTATTAAAATAAGTTAATTTTCAAGGCATAAAAGTATATTAGTAAATTGTAGAGCAGCGATCTGCGAGACAATCTCTTGTCTCTTCCGTGTTTTGTTTTTTGAACGCATTTCGCCTGAAATAATTCGTATCTTCTGGAAATCCTAAAACTATGGCATGCCAAAGGGCGCAAGACATCGCGAAATTGTTTTGCGAATCTTGGTTATAGAGTTAGTATTGATTTACTTTACTTAATGAAATCTCTATTATCAAGTCGTTGTTCAATCTGTGGTAATCCTTTGAACATAAACATAATTTGAATTAGTTCATTGCTGTTTTCATGCCCATATTTAACAAGAATATTGGTATGAAGTACGTTTAAATCAAACAGCATTCGATATTGAGGAAATTGTCTTTCTAAAATAATACTTCGATGTATCTTTATTTATATTGATTCGAGCTAGATGTCGATTATTAAGAATATGATCAATACATTTATCATAGGAAATCATTGAATCGAAATTAAAAAGTATTGTCCATGATTTTTGTGTTTGATTTTTTTGAATAAATAAATTTATTATTTTCTAATAATTGTTCAGTTAATTTTGTTTGATATGTAAACCAAAATTGATCGATGTTCACTTGTTATAAAATTCGATCGATTTGATCTAATAAAATCAACTTCTTCTCAAGTACATTTTAATTCACATTTGTCATTGATTGTTCCTTGTTTTTCTATTATCAAATCAAAAGTAGTTGTATTGAAGATTTTATTGAAGATTTTGAGCAAGACTTTTTGATTCATTTGGATGAATTTTTAAGCTCTTAAAACGACATAGTACTTTTTCAGTTGACATTATTAATGATCTTAAAGTAAATTTTTATAGATTTATTATATAAATTTATCTTTTACTTTATTTAATCATTTTTCCCACTCAATTGAGAAATAGTATAGAGAAGAGAGTGAATCGGTTCTTTTTTTTTTTGTTTTTCTTTATGTTTTTAATAAAAAGGTGAAATAAGGAAGAAAAAAAATGTTGATAGACGTCATAGATTCTAATTAACTTCTCATAAAATGCTACATCGACAAATCTGATTACCAATGAAACAATAACATGTGCGATGACATCAAAAAATATATATATATATAATTGTTATTATTTATTTTTATTATAAAGGTTTATAAAATTAAAAAAAACATGTTCATATAATGTCATAAGATCCAATAAATAAAGTTCAGACAATAATCTTCTAATCAACGTTTGAAACGCCATGATGATAATAAACTTGTTGTTGATGGTTTATTATCAAAAGTTTGTATAAATTTCCTTAATGAAGAAAATAAAAAAATCATATTTAACCCTTTCGTGACGGTAGACATATATATGCGTCCAGATCGTTATCTTCAAAAATAGATAGGAATCAATGAGTTCAACAGTGAAAGGTCAGTTGATATGCATAAGATCATAAGCAATGTGACAAGCCTTTGCTGTTGAACTGTTTCATTTAAAAAATATTTATATTCAGACATAGAGATATCAACTGATTCTATCAACTTTCATGTCTTATAATTTTTGAAAAAAAAATAAGCCCGTCCCGAAAGGGTTAATTGTTGTTATTCATTTTTACATTTTATCAAGAATTCAGTTATCTTTGATATTTAATTACAAAAAAAATAATCTGAAAATTTTAGATCTTCTATTGTCCTATTCGTGAGATATATATTTGATAAATCTCTATACTTTTGATATTTTTAATTTCTTTATATGTTGATAAGCACATACTTGCAATCAAATTGAGATATTTCTTTTAAAATTTTATCAATATCTGCATCAGAAAATTGAACATTGAGTTTCTATTAGAATAAAATTAATTAATATTATTCAAGAAATATATGATAAATTATCAATAATTTTACTTCTTGAATTGCTTGTTTCAATTGAGCATGATCTGTTATTCGATTATCGGATATGTTATCATTACCAGTAGCAATAGAATAAAAAAAATTTGATAAATTAATTTCAGGACGACGTTGAAATAGTGTACGTAATCGTTCGATCGGTGATGGTGGAGAATGATGATGATCTTTTAATAATGGTGATGGTATTCTCACACCAATTAAAATATGTAGTTCAGGACGTTGACTTTTTACTTGTAAGTAAAGCTCTTGACAATCACTATTTAATCGAATTTCCTATAAATACAAATCATAATACAAAATTTTTATTGAAATATTCTATACTGTTAAATCAATAAGTTCAAGTTTATTGGATATTGCATCTTTTCCTATAAGTGGTTTAAGAATAGCATAGCATCCAGCTGATTCAAGTGGATTTCCTGTTAACTAATTAATACACAAACAAATATTTATGTTTATTTTGATGATATAATATTATTCATTCTTACACGTATTATTTGTAAATTTTCATTTTTAGCAAGACCACGACCAATATATGTGACTGGTTCAGTTGTTAAACGATTATAACTAATCAATATATAAATAAATTCGAATATGTTTTTATAAAAGTTAATAATTGTATAACCTTATGTCAAGTTCAACAAGTGTAGTATTCTCTTTGAAAGCATTGAACCAAGCACGACCACATTCAGCGCCTGATAAACCATTATGAGCCAAATTTAATATTTTAAGAAAAATATTTTCCTATAGAATTAAATTAATATACTATTTGTTAATGAATTATATAGATAGATAGATAGAACAATTTTTGAAGATTTTAATAGTAATTTTTTTTTCTTAATGAAAATGGTTTTTTTTTTTTGGAAATAATTTTATTTCATAATGAAAAATGCTTACTTGAATTCCTTTAATTAATGCAACAGCACCTTTACCATTTATTGAATTCCAACTGAGATCAAGAGATTCCATTGTTGTATTTTCAGCAATAGCTTGACCTTCATTATAACAATACTTTATATTAATATTTATAAATTGATTATATCGATTTACCTAAGAAAATACCACTTGCTGATCCGAGTTTATTTTTTGCTAAAGTTAATGTATATAATTGTCCAGTACTCTAAACGAAATCAAACAAAATAAAAATCATTAATGTCTTTTTTTCCCTCCTTATATTCATATCTTACTGAAATAAGTTCAGCTAATAGACGAGCACATTCATCATCTAATAAATTTCCTACATAGATAAAAATATTTATTTAAAATAAATCATTTTTAAAATTAAAAAAAAACAACAACAAATTTTTTTAACCTTCAAGTTTTAAATGATTAATTGTTACATTATCTTTAAACATATCACATAATTGTCGAGTACCATCAATACTAATAAAATTTTGTGAAAGATTAACATCAACAATTGCAATATTATCACGAAGAATTTGTGATAAATAAATAACACCTTTATCACCAAGGCCATTACTTGTTAAATCAAGTTTAGTTATATATGTATTTATCTGATATAAAACAACAAAACATACATAATATATATATATATGCATGATTATTTTTATTTTTATTTTTATTCATTAAAATTTTATATTTACATACTGTTAAACTTGGTAGAAATGCTCGCATACCTCTTGAGCCTAAACCATAATAACGCATTAATAATTCTTTTTGATCATAATGTTTTAAATACTGTCCAACAGGTACAATTTGTTCATATTTACAAATATATTTATACATTCCAATACATGAACGATCACGATGTTGATTAATATCATCTTCTAAATCTGTATCATAATCTTCATCACTAGCAAATGAAAAATTAGTTGAAGTCGAACTTGATTGAAAATCACTAGTATGTGTATTTGTTGTTTCTATTCCACTTGTTTTTGGACGACGTTCATTTGTTTTTACATCATTATTTTTACGTCGTTCTAATCGCTTTAAAAAAAAAATATATTGATATTGAATAATTTTTAAATGTATTTACGAATATATATTTTTTTAATAAGTACGTACTCGATTTGGGTCGACTGTAAGCGGTCGAATAAGATGAATTGGATTTTTGAATATTTCAGTATTACGCCTATGCATTGTATTTTTATGATGAAATGAAAGTAAAACAAAGAAAAAAAGAATAATATATATATATATATATACAACATGCACAATGACATTTGTATGGATTTATGAATAATTTATATGTATATATGATTCTGTTTCAGAATTTGAAATCAAAGATGAAGAAACGAATTTTTTTTTTGCTTGATTAATTCAGCTTTTTCTTTTCAAATAGATAGAATAATAATCATGTATTATTTTGTTTTCATAGTTCTTTTTAATGTTTATCGTCGTCAAATTACATATTTTGTGATGAAATCATCAATAACATACATCTCATTATAGATAAAATCAACTTATTTAAAAGAAAATCCTTTTTTTTATCAAATCTATTAGTATTGATTTTTAATTGTGGGAAAAAAGTAAAAAGAAAACATCAGGGATGTAATGAAGAAAAAAAAGTAGGAGGGGTCTGCAAGGAAATTTTTTGAGACTTGAAAAAGTGCATATACAATTTTTTGAAAGTAGAGGGTGTCTATCCTTGTTATTTTTACACACAAAAAATCTCCAAGACAGTCCAATGTTTTGTTGCTGCAAAATAAGTTTCAACAATTTTTTTCTCAAAAATTTTTACATCGTATATTATTACATTCTTTGTATATATACTACGTAGTAACATCATTTTCTACAAGGTAAAAGTATTGTACTAATTTCCTTGTAGTAAATTATAGCTGCATTTGTTTCTTCATTTTGTAATATTAACTTTGTAAGAGTCATGTAATATGACCATGACGACATTGATTGCACGTTAAATGCAAAACATAAAGAAACGTTACATTTGCTCGCTTTGTAGATATCTATTCTTTTTCATAGATTAGATATTTGAAATATTGATAATGAATGAACAGTAGAATAAAATAGGATATATCAAGGAGAAATAGTGACTTGTTTTATCTATTGATATCTTGGTTTGATATATGCCAATAAAATGAAAAAGAGACACTTTTAATATAGGTTTTAATAATATTACCTTCTAAAAAATTTATCATATACGAAATATAGTTACTTTATTTTTTTATTATTATTATACTTGGTAAATTTTTTTTTCTTGAATTTCTTTGTCATAAAATCAAATACAAGCAAACCATCTATTTAATGATAACTGATAAGTATGTCATGTTTTTTTTTTGATAGAGAGAAAGAGATATATAAAGCGTGATACATATCTATAGTGTTACGGTTGAGAAAATGACCTTCATCTACCACTGATTTTTCGTATTCAGTATAAGAAGGCTGTTCTATGCCAAGGCAAAAGAATCATTTACTTATATACTTAGTACATCAAATGAAAAAAACAACTATGATGGACATTTGCTTCTTGAACAATAATTTAATATACATTTAATTACTTATTGTTTATATTATGTATAAAAAAATCCAATGGTAAAAGAAATAAAAAATAATCGCGAACTTTTTCCAAAACCACCATCATTACTTATTGTTGCTCATTGTTCAACAATACGTCGTAAAACGACAGGTATCGATGCAAATGAATTATCAGCTATACTCAATGATTGTGTATATGAAGCATATTCAAATAAATTCCCGTTAAAATCATATTTGAATTCTTTAAATGAAATAGTTAAAACATTGAATTCACATTTTCCATCAGCATTACTTGAAACAAGTTCACATTATTTTTTTACTCTCGTTCGTAACACAATACGACTACTTTTACGTGAATTATATACATCATATGAATTAAATAATGAAGAAATTTATATTTTACGTAATTGCACTGTATTAATTCATCAGGTAGTTAAGAAAATAGATGATGTATCAAAAATTTTACATTGGATTACTGATGAATCATTTCTTGATGCTTTAGCAAATTGTCTAATTCATATAAATAAAATTTCAAAAGCAACTGAAAATCAACATATAATGAAACAAATAACACGTTTATTAAATATATTGTGTAATATTCAACAACGTTTACCGATAAATTTACATCAGCAATCATTTGTACAATTACTTCAACCAATTATAAATTGTTTAACATCATCAAATTATATTAAATTATTTAGCAATTTAAAAGCAAATGCAATTTCACTTACAGAAAGCCAAAAACTATTTCTTATTAAGTGTCCGTATTTTCTTACTACTTATAATGGTAAATTTTTTTTTCAATTATTATATATATATTTGAATGTCTCTTTTTCTTTGTTTTTTTTTTTGAGGACCTGAGATTGAGAGAGCAATTGAACATGTTTTAGAAATAATGTTACCACGTTATGTATCAATACTTGATAAACATATGAAAACAATTAAAGAATGGCAGGAACCAATAATGCATGCTATACATAATCTTATTATGACTATTGTTTATGCTGAGGGCTATTTTTCATCCTGTATAAATAATAAATCATTTCAATTACTTATTAATCATCTTTTAAATCTTCTTAATGAAACTAGTTTAATTAATAAAATACATCCAAAAGAAAACAATATAGAAACATTATTGATTGATGCAACACTGGTCGTCTTTAGTATACAACTTTATGAACCTAATGCATTGGATTATATCAAACAACTTAAACCGATAGCAGTTTTTCGACAATTAACAACAACATCGCGTGAAGCTATTGTTTTAAATGCTTATATGATGCTTGTACACGTAATGGATGAAAATGACATTGAAACAATGGTGGACAATTTGTCTAATTTACTTTCTACAACTCTCTATTTATTAGGAAAAGCAATTGAAACTCGTCATCATACAAATATACATGAAAAGGTTAATCAAGAAACTGTCGATCGAAATATAATACAACTTCTTGAAACATTGAGGGGTAAATGAATAAATTTCTAGAATAGATTTTCTTTTTTCCAAAATCTTTTGATTTTGATTTGCTTTCTTTTTATTAATTTCAAGGTTTAGTACAATATGAACAAATTAAAAATGATATATTAAAACAAAAAATAGTATCACATTTAATGTATTATTACGAAAATTTACATGGATTATCGAAACAATTATTACTTGAATGTTTTTGGACATTATCATTTAATGAAAAAATAGCTCAACAATTACGTGAACATTCACAATTTATTCTTTCATTACATAATATATTACAAGTTGTTAGAGATGATCGTCAACAAAATACAATTCGTCATTCAAATAGTTATTGTACTCGTCAAAATGGTACCATTATAGCATTAATTGACAGACCAAATGATGGAATACGAAAAGTAGCTGATGGACTTCTTTGGAAACTTGTTAACGGTATACTTTCGAAATATAGAAATTTAAAATTTTTTTTTATTTGTTCATTTTCTTTGAATAGAATCTGAATTTCGAGAGAACATCATTGAAAAAATGAAAATGCGAAAAGAAACAAGAATCGCAACTAATAATCAAAACTATAAATATGATATAATGATTTCATATTGTGATGCTGACAAAGATATTGCTCAGAAAATTCAAAGATTTCTCACTAATGAAGGTTATAATATTTGGTTTGACAGTACCTGCAATCACAGATATGGTAAGATAACTGTATATTACTTATTTTCATTGCATATAACGACTCAGAATTCATGAACTTAGTCGATTGATTCGTAATGTAGAAAAAGAAAAAGATAGATATGTCAATTGAAAACAGTGGCACCAGGAAAAAGATCTGTGTATACATTTTGACTTTTTATACAGGTCGTTTAACACTTCTAAAGTCTATAGTGAAAATAAAAAAGTAATTTATTTAAAGACATGTTTTCAATATAATACTTAAACAAAATACAGCTGGAATTATTTTTTGTATTCTAGATATGAAAGTCATCGCAGACGCAATAGAAAATTCTCAATTTGTTATCATCTGCATCTCGGATTTGTATAAGCGTGATAATAATTGTCAAGCTGAAGTTGAATATGCGTTTAATTCCAAACGATTTCTTCTACCATTGATTGTACGTGCCGGCTACAAACCTTCTGGATGGTTAGCTTCTATGGCAAACAACAGCACCTATATCGATTTTGCAGGAACTGATTTCAAAACAGCATCCACAATGCTCGTAGAAGCAATTAAACAACTACAGTGTCAAAAAGAGACACCAATTGTTAGACCAACGGCATCGACACGGATCAACATTGTGCACAATCCATCTAGTTCTTCGAATGTTTCTGATAAGCCTTATGCACCTGTTCAGTCTTCGATTGTAACTGGCTCTACTAGTTCCGTACCATCTTATTTTCCATCCGTTATCAATGGTAAACAACAAATGTCATCACCTGCAATCTCACGAAATTCAATTGCTAGCGTTGACTGTTCTACTAGGTCTGATTTCATTGATAAACAACAGAAAAGATCGGAGCATGCTACTTCACAGTCATCAATGGATAGTTCGATCTCTACTATCGGATCTGCTGGTGTTGTTGAAACACAGCAAGCTCAAATCCACACCGTTTTAAGGCCATCAACATCTGGTATTACGCCTTCCACAACATCTACTATTGATATTCAACAACGGTCAACACATGTGCATCCTGTTTCAACATCAATAACATCTGGATCCATGATATCTACTACATCTGCCATTAGAGGTCAGCAGCAACCAAAAACATCAATCGTCTCGTATTCAAAATTTCCGACATCTGACGCTAACACTTCCACTACGTCTTCAGTTGTTAATAAGCAATACGAACAACATCAAATGTCAATGGGTCCTGTTTCAAAAACGCCAACGTCTGGTTCCATTGTTTCTACCGCATCTGTGGTTACCGATAAACACCACCACCAACAACACCGTCAACTACAACAACGAATGCCAGTGAGTTCTATTCTTCAATCAGCAATGGTTAGGTGCATCTCTTCTGACCGTTCTGCCACTGTTGAAAAATCGCAACAACATGGACACATCTATCCTATTTCGAGACCTCGAATAACTACATCTACCATCCCTACTGGTATAGATCAACAAGAAAAGCGAACAACAAAACCGTCTCGTTCACGATCATCAACGCCTGGTAATAGCTATTCTACTGCATCTGCTGTTGTTGATAAGCAACAACTATCTGAAAAAAGGTATTCTGTCCCACTAGCGCTAATCTCAACACCAAATTCTTCTACTGTGACCATCAACCTTGACCACAAGCAGCAGCAAACAACCACCCATTCTGTTTTAATACCGCCAAAACCTCTTACTGTCTCTTCGAATGCATCTCTTAATGTTGAGAAAATGCAACAACAAACGCAAATACATTCCAAACCACGAACATCGACAGTTAACGCCATATCCTCTGCCGTGTGCTCGACTGTTATTCAGCAACAACAGCAAGCAAAGAAAGCTATCACAGGATCATTAACAAATGGCACTACTCTTTCTATTATACCTATCATTATCGATAAAGAGCAACAGCAGCCAATAGAAATACCTCCAGTTTCACTATCTACAACATCTTATTCCACATCTTTTGACGAAACAATCAATGTCAATAAACGATCACAACAACAAACACAAGGGTATCTAATTTCACAACCCCAAACGACGACCTACACTGTACTTCCTACTACATCTACAGTTGTCCCTCAACCGCAACAGCTAACATCAACTCATCTTGTTCCACGGTCGCCAAAAAATAACACTGTCTCTTCTGCCTCAACTACCACTATCGATAAACTACAACAAAAAACACAACTTTGTCCTATTTCACAATCACAAACATATAACTCTGTCCATTCTAGTAAATCTGTTTTCCTTGATCAATACCCACAGCTAACACCAATGCATCTTGTTTCACAATCGTTAACAAATAACACTATTTCTTCTGCTCCAATTACCACGATCGTTAAACCACAACAAGAAACACAAGTTCATCCTGTTTCACAATTAAGAAAATCCGGCTCATTTTCATCTGCTGCATCTGCTCTCCTTGATCAAGAATCACAGCTAATACCAATGCAAGTTCTTTCACCACCGTTAGCACATAGCATTGTTTCATCTGCTTTACCCGTAGCCGTTGATAAGAAGCAACAATTACCAGCACGAATACCTCTTGCTGCACAATCTCAAGTACCTACTTCTACCACTCCTGATGAACATAGCAATGCCAACAAACAGCCGCGGAAACCAATAATAGTGTATTCTATTTCGCCGCCACCAGCGACTACCCGTGCTACACTTCCTACCACATCTAATATTGTCGCTCAACCGCAACAGCTAACGCAAACCCATCTTGTTCCACAGTCGCCAATAAATAACACTGCTTTTTCTGTTTCAACTACCACTATCGATAAACTACAACAGAAAACACAATTTTGTCCTATTTCACAATCACAAACATGTGGTTCTGTCTATTCTGGTACATCTGTTCTCCTTGATCAACACCCACATCTAACATCAATGCATCGTGTTCCACAATCGTTAGCAAAAAATACTATTTCTACTGCTCCAATTACCACAATTGCTAAATCACAACAGAAAACACAACTACCTCCTGCTTCACAATTAAAAAAATCCGATTCATTCTCGTCTGCTACATCTGCTTTCCTTAATCAACAACCACAGCGAACATCAATGCATCCTGTTTCACAACCGTTGACAAACAACATTCTTTCTTCTGCTTTACCTATTGCCATCGATAGGCTGCAACAGAAAGCACAATTGCGTCCCGTTGCACAATCACAAAGATCTGGCGCTGTCCCTTGTGCTACACCTGTCCTCCTTGATCAACACCCACAGCTAATACCAATGCATCTTGTTTCACAACCGTTAACAAAT